GGCAGCGCAGGACCGTTCATTGTGGAAAACCTTGGGGGAGGCCTTTGTCCAGCAGTGGACGTCATTTGGCTGAAACGAGTACCTAATGAAAAGGGTAGATTATTAAAAACATCATTTCATAAGAAATAAAAACTTTTATTATTATCAGTTCAAATATCGTATTTACATTTTTTGAACGAGTAAAAGCACATTGTTTATACAATAAAAAAAAAAAAAATCATAATCAGCAGCAGGACAATTTCGTGATACCTAAAGTAATTAAATGTAGTTAATACATCTTAAGAATTAAAAATATAAAATAAATCTCATGTGTCTCCCTTACTTTGGGGACACGATCGGCAATGGCAACTCATAGGACTGTCAGAACTAAGAAACCGTAACAACTAATTAATAATAACTATATACAGAATTCGTTCCATCGTTATACTAATGTAGCAAACGGCGCGATTTAACATCAGTTCTTGGTAGAAATGCAAATAATTATGTATACAATAGAATTTCCTATCCTCATTCATATAAATGCTCCATATTACTAACATTTATATATGTTACATGCACGCACAACGTGCCCGGTGCCTCACTCAACGGGTGATTTATTTACTTTGCCACTCTCCCTTACAGTGCGGCCACGAAATGGGCGGGTTCATTGCGAAAAACTATTTCAAATACAGCACTTTTTGTTTTAGTTCCTCGTTTGAACGAGATATGAGCGAAGAAAACACGTCAAGTACCCAACACGATCTTTGAGATTCAGAAGCGATCAAAACTTATTGGTCACGATTTAGCTATCTCCGCTCATATCTCTTCAAAAAATGTAAAGCTCAAAATTAAAAATCTTAAGAAATTAATCTACTTGGTGTGAGCTTCTGCACCGAGTGAAAATTAGATAGCATTGAGAAATATTTTCACTAAATATAACACCAGCCCTTCGTTTTCGTTGTAGAACCGCCGATTTCCTGGCCGCAACCGAAAAATATACATATAGACAAAACTCAACAAATCATGTACACAGAAAATATAGAATTTCACAGACTATACAATTTACGTACTATTTTGGTGTTCGCAACCGAATTTATACAGGGCGTCGCAGGAGTTCCAATTTGTGACAAAATTGTCACTTTTGTGCTAAATTTTTTTAGTTTCCTGCTACGTACGCTCTCGTATCTTTCGGTACACGCACACTACACTAAGTTGATCTACGCTCACTATTTCCCCGGCGCACACAGACAACTAAGACTTCCTACGTATCTCTTATCAAACTACCTAATGAAGTGGCAGTGCGTTTATTGCGATGCAGTCCATGAATTTTAAATAGAACCACCCTGAAACCTGTCCTTGATGTCAAGGTGCCAATCAATTAAAAGTAACCTTGAATAATGTGTGGAAAATCAATTCATTTTCAATTACGAATTTGTAATTTGTAAATTGCTTTCACAACGAAAAATATTCGCTTCATTGAGATTTGACCGTCATTTTATAAAATAAGTTTATTATTAGCCTAAAAAATTACTGCAGTAATACCAATGACGTAGTTTTCGGGTAATATTTATTTAAAATCTCTGGACTACACAGTGCATAAGGCTCCATAATATCCCGTAATATAGCCTCTTCTCGACCTACACTGAGGTAAGTATATTTCAAGAACGTACAAATTTTGTAAAGCTATCGAAAATCTTTTAATGTGACCCTTTATTGCTACACATAACAGAGCCACCGCTATGAACTTCATTTCAGATTCTTTAGTACCAGAGTAATTGCAAGCAGGAGTAAAAAGCATAATCATTTCACTTATCAACAAGGTTACCAGATGAGGTATCGTTATTCCATTTAATTAAATACATACGTCATATTCAGACACTTTTTGCATATGGTAACCTTACTCCATTCCTACTATATTTAATATTGCTCATTTCATATTAATTAGTATCATACAATGTCTGTAAAATTTTACAAAGTGGCAATCTACTTGTTATTGTATCATTATGAAAGATGTCGTTAGTTGACTACGGACTAGACTGTCACCTGACGTGAATACATTTCCCCCTATCGTTATAAAATTGTTTACAAAATGCGATTCCACGATCGTCCTATCGCGAGATCTGTCCGAATGAAGCGATTCATTAATTTAATTTACACGTTGGCACAAATTGGTGTTTACGTTTCGACAGGACTATAAACTATTTTCAAATCACAGATCATAATATTAATTTTAGATCAGTTGCATTTATGGTTCAAGTCGGCAATATGACGTTTGAACCATAGACAAATCAAATACGAGTGTAAGAAAGCCAAAAATTAACCGTAACTCAAAATCTAAATAGCATTTTCATACATTATGCATACCAGTTGAGAGTTGTTACAAGTCAATTGAAGCTCATAACGGAGTTAAGACCCAAGAATAGATGCTTCTTACAGCTATGCTTGAGTTTGAATCTAATTTTGAGTTCAATTCATGTTACGGATCTAAGTTTCAGTAGAAGTACCATTCGCATTGAAATTGCTGGTTGAAATGAAACATTACCAACAGACTTGTATCACAAATGCAACTTTAGATAGTATCTACACTAGAGACGATAGAAAAAATCGCATTCCTTAGCTAATCGTCAGTTGCCGATGCGCCGGTCGTCACTACACACTGCCTAACCTTACAGTGGGGGACCACTAATTTGACTAAACCGATTAATTTCACTAATCTTTAGTCTAGACGGAATCTACCTTCCATCTACTCTACCTCTCATACACCACAAGAGTCGAATCGAATTCACTATCACGTAAAAATTTACAGTAGGACGGTCCCACACTTAACTTGAGATCGGTCGCGATAAATTAATTTTGGTAAGTTTGTATCTGATCAATTCACGTTGTATCACTTCAGTGGCCGCCACTCCGCCAGTCGCCACCCTAACCTTACTATTTGAGCACCGTGGAAGGAATGTGTGCATAAGATTTAGACAAACGCCAAGATTAAGGTGAGGAGGCCCTTAACACGAGTCACGGACGTGCGGTGCAGTCAAGGACAATGAAAAGTACACCCGACCCAAGTAACATTTTACTCCATTTAAGAGTTCACATTTAGTTCCAATGTGTACTTAAAGCATTAGTACAGTTCACTCGTGATGTATAAGCTGTATTATTGCAATTAATTACACCTATACCTGTCTAAGGGACTTATAGGAGTGTAGACTAGTGTAGAGTTATACTTTTATACGATTGTTGGTGTTATAATACTCTAACAACTATTCTTTAGTCAGCCATCTGACTAAGAGCATTATAGGAGGGTAGAGATACGGCAACCGCTGTTTAACGGCCTACTTGTATGATGTTATAGAGCTAGCATTTTAATAGAACACACGTGGTCATTTATAAAGCCAAAGGCTGTTATGTTTACTTGTTTTAGACTGTTATACAGCTAGTAGCTGTAGTAGGACTTGTTTGTGTTATTAAAATAACCTTTTTTTACTATCTGTACAAAAGTGTTTCAATGGTTCGCATGTGCACTGTAGGCTGTTAAAAGGACTATATGTGTTGTCCATTAACATCAATAGCAGTTTATTTGTCCACAAGTACTACTCTTATTTGCTTTAAGCTGAAAATGAATGTGAATGTGATATTCTATTACACTTTTCCCCAAGCCTGTTTTTAGTTGTATTTATGGTGGTTCTGTACATGATGCAGAGGAAAATATTATGCCTGAACCTGAAAGTTCCCTTCAAAATATACAGATATCAGAGTGTGATGATTGCAGTTCTAGTGATAGTGAATACAATTTTGATTTAGACAATTATTTAACCTTTAGCAAAAAAATAAGAACATGGGCTATTGAAAATCGTATTCCTCATTCCGCTTTGAATAAATTGTCAGGCATAATAAACGAATTTAAACCGGGAACACTACCGTCTGATGCTTTAGGTATTCATACTTGACTATTAGTACCTGGGCTAGGCGATTTAACGGACATTAATAATTTTTATTGCGGATCTCTAAAATTTCAGTATTTGAAAGAATTAAAGATACACAATTGACCTGAACTAGGTACATCTTAAAGCTGTACATAAGTTCACATTAGAATAAATTTATAGACATTAGCGCTGTAGTGGTACAAATGTGGAACTTAATATAGATAACAGCATTCTAACAGAACACATGTGAACCTAATATACGCTCACCGCATTAAATTGGAGTTATAACAGTTCACATAGCCGTATTTCATTTCCACCATTTTGTTCTACATAACCTAAAATATTTACCAAATAAATCTCCAAAATTAATGCAGATTTATCACAAAATTCGCAGATAGAGCGATTGAGTTTTGGTTTCATGTTATAATTAATTACCGTAGTATAATTATAATGCCAATACAATATCAAAAACTGAAAATTGTAGATTTCCTCTCAGCCAGTTTTAAATATTTTAAAATGAATATCGCGTTTTTACAGAGGCGCGTAAATATTTTAGCTGTAAATATGTATACATTTCACGATAAAGTTGCATTCCCAATGGCATTAACATTATTAAGTATTTAAACCTTACCCGTGTTATTATTTGCATAAATGATTATATTATCCGCCCGAGTTGTTTCCTCTTGGCACTCACGTACAAATACCAAACTAATATTAAAATGTGGAAATAATTTAGGACACACGTGAACTTTATGTAGCATTGGAGTACTTTTGTCGGACTTTATAACTTTGAAAGCTGTGCATTTAGCCACTTGTTACTCTTTATTGTCCTCACGTACGTTGTATGGTTCACACTGCGTCCCATATAGTGCCGTAAGTCAGCCTTAAGTACGATGTTACTACTTAAACTGCTATTATAATGCTATTATACTGCTAATGTACAGCCATAGTGAACTTAAAGCTGTCTAATTTGTGCCCAAACTGGTTCTATAAAAGCATTATAGCAAGCTATACAGCTCGTATACAGCTGACATACACAGCTTGTGGAGTACATGTGAACGACTATTGAACTCTTAAATGGAGTAAAATGTTACTTGGGGAGGCTCGCGTAACGTTGTGGCGTTAAGCGTTGTTACGTGAAGTTATCTCAGCCAATCTGGGTTAACGATGTTCCCAAGTGTACGTTTCTTTGCACTTGATTGTACTTAAGATGCATTTATATGCACGTTGCTCTTCCTGGTAGATCAAAAAAGGATGTGGCGACAAAGATAATGCTCTTCGGTGTACCTCTTGTCATTTAATTCATTGTAAAAAGCTTTTTCAAAGCGGCCATTTAACTCAAACTAAAATAAGTTTAGAAAAAAACATGTCGCAATTATAGAGCATTATCCCTGACACCATAGGTTACACAAATCGCGAACTTGTGATAAAGGCCTCAATTAAAAAACCGTATAGCTTTCATAAGACTGCATTAGAGTAAACTTCGTCGACAATTATTCCTTATTATAAATAAACATCTTCAAAATTTTTACCAAATTATGAGCATATATCCAGCATAAAAATCTTTTAAAATAACACTTCATACTCTTCTCAATTATAGATATACATGGCACACTGCTCTGTTTATATATTTATACATATAATTCGTACACTCGATACCTATCAGTTTACCTTGTCACCATAGAATAATTGAATTATATGGATGGATATTCCGTTAGAAGCTTAACAAGCGCTTAAGTATTCATCGACAAGCGATTGACGGATGGACAATCAACGAACGAAAGGTGCGAGGAGTAGACGAATACTGCCGCTGGCATTCGATGCCCTGTGGAGCGTTTTTTTAAACTAACAAGAGAAACTATCACGAAACATTGGTCCACCGAGACGATTCAACCAGATTTCGACGTTAAAACTATAGGAATTGAAACGTACTAGCTAACGAATGACGTCGCGCGCGGTGCGATCGGCGGCGAGCGACGTTCGGCGGCTGGCGAACGTTCGGTGGGCGATCGACGCGGCGACGACGCGGATTCAACTAAGGCGCTATGGGGCTCACTTGATGGCGGCGTGCCGGCTCTCGGCGTGCATGCTCACGCCTTCCACTGTGAAGATTGACACCTCTGCAACAAAATACTACGTTAGAACACCTGCATTGTTGGCCAATTAATTGTTATTCGCATTTTTTGGTACTATTTTGTTAACTGTTCCTACTATCATAGGAATTCTAGCCGGAAAGTAAGCAATTATTTTCCACGAATTATGATATAAATACTCGTGCATATAGCAGGATTCGAACTCGTATCTGAGCCTGGCTTTTCCATCCATTACGTCAAACACCAAGACAGGCGGCAGTTAAGCATACGTACAAGTATGAATTTAAGGCGTATAAAGAGAAAAGCGAGCCTCAATTCTCTCATTTTCAATAACTTAATATTCGTCTTATCTCAACTTCTGAACAATGGAAGGTATTCAGAAATACCTTTCAAATATCATGAAAGCCAGCCGTCTTGAACTTGAAAATTCAATTATAAACAGCGATATATTCTTTATTCGACGAAACTAAAATATGCACATGACATATACCTTACAAGATTACATTAAACTTGCAACTTTTACCAACAACCAAAACGTATTTCGGTAAAAACGCGACCTCGCCGGAATAAAGCCTTAATCCCCACGACGTTTCTCTCTCATTTGTTTCTCCCCAACAAAAACATCTCTGAAAATCTTCCCCCATATTCAGTGATTTAAAAACTACAATGTCATTTGTTTTTAAATCAGTCTGCGGAGTCGCACGCGTCCCTCGTCACGCCTGGTTTCCCGCGACCCCTCAGTTTTAACTCAATTATGACCTCGTTCAGTCAAAGGGGAGACACCTGCGTTATTTTGATGGTGCGCTTTCCCATTCCGATGCGTAAGTGATAGTAAATTTTATTATCGCTACATAGGAATTCCATTTTATTTTTGTTTACTTCCCGTTTGCGGTAGTTTTGGTACAAGTTGTAAGAGTAAAGTGGATAATAAAAGGCGTTTAAACAAATGTGTAACATGCCGACATTGGCCTATCCAACTAGCGTGGGCACTGTAGGTCAAATCCTAAATTTGCATCTGGTAAATTGGACATGGTTGGGTTCCTGAATTGGAGACTAAAATTAACCTGATGATGCTGGTGAAGCTATGCATTTTGTAAACGTATTCACATCTCTTTAGCAGGCTGTAGTAACATGGCCGCTAGTCTCTCAACCTCGCGCCCACCCTATATCACGAGAACAGGCACTTACCATCAGGCAGGTCCCTCAACCGTGGCGGCAGGGAAGCGAAGTACGCGTGATACAGCGCGCTATGCGCCGCCAGACGCCTGGTGGGATCTGGCTGGAGTAACGTGGCCGCTAGCCTCTCAACCTCGCGCCCACCCTATATCACGAGAACAGGCACTTACCATCAGGCAGGTCCCTCAACCGTGGCGGCAGGGAAGCGAAGTACGCGTGATACAGCGCGCTGTGCGTCGCCAGACGCCTGGTGGGATCTGGCTGGAGTAACGTAGCCGCTAGCCTCTCAGCTTCGCACCCTTCCTCCCTAAGCCCAGTCAACTTATATGTCAAGTATAGTTAGTTACTCACCATCAGGCAGGTCTCTCAACCGTGGCGGCAGGGAAGCGAAGTACGCGTGATACAGCGCGCTGTGCGTCGCCAGACGCCTGGTGGGATCTGGCTGGAGTAACGTGGCCGCTAGCCTCTCAGTCTCCCGCCCTCCCGCAGTCAAGAGAACACATTTATCAAGTCGTCGTCGTCATCGAACAACGTCGCATGTCTACATCCGCCAACTTCTGTTTTTAGGCATTAAATTACTACTAAAGTCGCTCCTTTATATCATTATTCTTATTTTTTAAAGTTCACAAACATACCGAAGCTACAGAATCAAAAATAGATGGATGTGATTATTCTAACGCAGTACAGAGACGAGTTTGTGCAAGATAACACTTTATAGATACATCGTTGTTCGACGACGGCGACGAAGTGTACTCACCATCAGGCAGGTCCCTCAACCGTGGCGGCAGGGAAGCGAAGTACGCATGATACAGCGCGCTATGCGCCGCCAGACGCCTGGTGGGATCTGGCTGGAGTAACGTAGCGGCTAGCCTCACAGCATCGCAGCCTCCCTCTCTTAGTCCATACAACTTATATGTCAAGTATAATCACTCACCATCAGGCAGGTCTCTCAACCGTGGCGGCAGGGAAGCGAAGTACGCGTGATACAGCGCGCTATGCGCCGCCAGACGCCTGGTGGGATCGGGCTGGAGTAACGTAGCCGCTAGCCTCTCAGCATCGCACCCTTCCTCCCTAAGCCTAGTCAACTATAATTGTCAAGTACAATCACTTACCATAAGGCAGGTCCCTCAACCGTGGCGGCAGGGAAGCGAAGTACGCATGATATAGCGCGCTATGCGCCGCAAGACGCCTGGTGGGGTCGGGCTGGAGTAACATGGACGTTAGCCTCTCAAGCCTTGCGTCCCCCTACCTAAGTCCAGACCACTTATATGTCAAGCGTAGTCACTCACCATCAGGCAGATCTCTCAACCGTGGCGGCAGGGAAGCAAAGTACGCGTGATACGCCTGGTGGAATCTGGTTGCAGTAACGTGGTCGCTAGCCTCTCAGCCTCCCGCCCCCTCCCTAAACCAAAGGAATATGTCACGAGAACAGTCACTCACCATCAGGCAGGTCCCTCAACCGTGGCGGCAGGGAAGCGAAGTACGCGTGATACAGCGCGCTATGCGCCGCCAGACGCCTGGTAGGGTCTGGCTGGAGTAACGTAGCCGCTAGCCTCTCAGTCTCCCGCAGTCAAGAGAACACATTTATCAAGTGTACAGTCACTCACCATCAGGCAGGTCCCTCAACCGCGGGGGCAGGGAAGCGAAGTACGCATGATACAGCGCGCTATGTGCCGCTAGACGCCTGGTGGGATCTGGCTGCAGTAACGTAGCCGCTAGCCTCTCAGTCTCCCGCAGTCAAGAGAACACATTTATCAAGTGTACTCACCATCAGGCAGGTCCCTCAACCGTGGCGGCAGGGAAGCAAAGTACGCGTGATACAGCGCGCTATGCGCCGCAAGACGCCTGGTGGGATCTGGCTGGAGTAACGTGGCCGCTAGCTTCCCTCTCTTTCCCTACATCACAAGATTAGTCACTCACCATCAGGCAGGTCCCTCAACCGTGGCGGCAGGGAAGCGAAGTACGCGTGATACAGCGCGCTATGCGCCGCCAGACGCTTGATAGAATCGGGCTGGAGTAACGTGGCCGCTAGCTTCCCTCTTTCTTTCCCTACATCACAAGATTAGTCACTCACCATCAGGCAGGTCCCTCAACCGTGGCGGCAGGGAAGCGAAGTACGCGTGATACAGCGCGCTTTGCGCCGCCAGACGCCTGGTAGGATCGGGCTGGAGTAACGTGGCTGCTAGCCTCTCAGCCTCGCACCCTTCCTCCCTAAGCCCAGTCAACTTATATTTCAAGTATTATCACTCACCATCAGGCAGGTCTATCAACCGTGGCGGCAGGGAAGCGAAGTACGCGTGATACAGCGCGCTATTCGCCACCAGACGCATGGTGGGATCTGGCTGGAGTAACGTAGCCGCTAGCCTCACAGCATCGCAGCCTCCCTCTCTTAGTCCATACAACTTATATGTCAAGTATAATCACTCACCATCAGGCAGGTCTCTCAACCGTGGTGGCAGTGAAGTGAAGTACACATGGTACAGCGCAGCGCGCTATAAGCGGCCAGACGCCTAATAGGACTGGCCGGAGTAACGTGGCCGCTAGCCTCTCAGCCTTGCGCAGTCAAGAGAACAAATTTATCAAGTGTACTCACCATCAGGCAGGTCTCTCAACCGTGGCGGCAGCGAAGCGAAGTATGCATGATACAGCGCACTATGCGCTGCCAGACATCTGGTGGGATCTGGCTGGAGTAACGTGGCCGCTAGCCTCTCAGTCTCGCGCAGTCAAGAGAACATATTTATCAAGTGTACAGTCACTCACCATCAGGCAGGTCCCTCAACCGTGGCGGCAGGGAAGCGAAGTACGCGTGATACAGCGCGCTATGTGCCGCAAGACGCCTGGTAGGGTCTGGCTGGAGTAACGTGGCCGCTAGCCTCTCAGCCTCGCGCCCCCCCTCCCTAAGCCGGGGGAAGGCTGACCCTAGCGGCCGGCCGGGGCAGGTGCCCCACCGGGTCACGTGTGTCCGGAGACCGGGTAACCGGCTGACGCCCACCCAGCTTTCTTCTGTCGGCGTGCCTACCACCTGTTAAAAGTTTTTTGGTTAGATATCTATGAAAGATCATCCCCACAATAAAGTAAGAAACGTCTGGCAACACTGAGCTAAAGTGACGCTTTCTTTGGAATAGAATAAACGGAGGGATGTTGTAGGATTAAAAGAGGAAAATATTTTCCTTGGACACCCTTCAAATGAGTTACGTCTATCGTGATATTAATATGGCTAACCACAAACAAGCGCTCAGAACACGTCATGGCTTTTCATTTTCACATAGTGTGAACGTATTCAAAAAGAATCACGTATTTCGCGATATGGTAGTTTTACAGTGACCAAAACGCGTTGCGTATAATAATAATGCATAATAATAATGTAAGCAGTAAGCAGGTTTCCCAGTCACGAAGGTTGCGCCTGTCCACCTGGATTAGGGCAGGGAAGGACCGATCGCTGTGAAAATATTTAAAGCCTCCTTTGTTCAGCAGTAGACATCTTCTGGCTGAGAAGAGCTCTCTTTTGAGGACATATACCTATGAGGAGCAGGAGTTCTAACCTTAAAGATCTTGTCGAGCTGATCGTGCGTGTCACGCACGCCAGGGAAGGTGGGGACGCCGCACAGCATCTCCACGAAAATGCAGCCCACGCCCCACATGTCCAGCGACGTCGAGTACTCCGTGCTGCCCAGCAGTACATCTGCGAGACAAGTTAATGCTGCTGAATGTTTATAGAACATGATCACTATCCCTATTGTATTAAGGTAGATGTAGCTCGTGCCCCACATATTAGCGACGTCGAGTACTCCGTGCTGCCCAGCAGTACATCTGCGAGACAAGTTAATGCTGCTGAATGTTTATAGAACATGATCCCTATCCCTATTGTATTAAGGTAGATGTAGCTCGTGCCCCACATATTAGCGACGTCGAGTACTCCGTGCTGCCCAGCAGTACATGTGCGAGACAAGTTGATGCTACTGAATGTTTATAGAACATGATCCCTATCCCTATTGTATTAAGGTAGATGTAGCTCGTGCCCCACATATTAGGGACGTCGAGTACTCCGTGCTGCCCAGCAGTACATCTACGAAACAAAATACTCATGCTGAAAATGTTCTTAATAATTTGTCAGTAATTGCTAAATATCCTCAAATTGCTTAATGACATCGTAAAGGTAGCAGGGAAGGGCTAGACGCAGGCTGCTCGCTACCAATCGATCAACGTAGAAAGCATTGGGAGAAGCCCATGTTCAGTAGTGGACGTCCTATGGCTGAAATGATAGATGATGAATTGCTAAATTCCTGTTAACCCTTACGAGTACGGTAAATATATGCTTAGGTTACGAGTTGATTCGATCCAACAGTCCTGGAAGACACCGGTGGCTATCCATTAAGGATAGGCCCCGTCCTTCTAGCGGGAAGAGTCCCACATAACCCACTGGCTGCCCCATCGGCTAGTGGATATGCGTAAAGCATTTCCCGACGAAAAAAAAGGAGTGGGTTCACCACAATAATCACGCGGTCGAGGGTGGTCGTATACTCAAATCGTAGTCTGATGCCAACACCGCTGGGCTCAGGGTTGCTTGATTTAAATCATGATTTAAATCACGATTTATATTGCATGATTTTTTTAATAAAAATCACTGATTTAAATCAAATGCCAAAAATGGAATTAATGAAAGGCTGGGACTTTATATTAATCAACTGTAATGTTCGAAAACAATGTTAAATAATAGGTGTTAATGTATGAAATTGATTTTTTGAATAGAGAATCAGAAAAAAATATTTTTTCCGTACAAACATGTTTGCGATTTTTTAGATAACCACACAATTTATTTTTTTTGGTGGTGTTGCCAGCTCTATACATCAATTCTACGTAAATAAAAATGTTTTCCGTAAGAAAAACTAAAGAAATGATCGCAAAACGTAATAAAAATCGTAAAAATCAAATAAATCAAAAAAATCGTGATTTTTTCTTAAAAATCTGATTTTTTTGATTAAAATAAATAAATCATGATTTTTTTCCACCCTGGCTGGGCTATTGTCGCTTTACATTCGATTTTGAATGATATCAGATCATTCGTTTCGTTGCAGTATTCAAAGCCAACGCACAAGGTGTTCAGATAACTTCCAACTTAAATAAGTTCCTTCCCACTTAAGGCGAATGACGGAGCACCGGGGTCTTTTTAGTGGGTATGCCTTTGTCCTTCTGACTTGGTGCGCCCCACATAACCTACCCTGTCCCCGCAGGATAGGTATGCAATTCAATGCATTTTTTCATCAAAAAAAGGTTAAAAATAGGATTTTGTCGGACATCTCATGAAGCAGTGTTAAACTTAGCTATTAACGTGTGCTAAAAATAACTTTTAATTTACTCTTAGCGGTTTTTCCACACACGTAGAGCGCTGAAACCTATTTGTGGAACTACAAATGACAAAGTAATACATGTAACACATTAGGAGCATGCTAAAATAAATTAGCGAATGCATAAATGAGTTTACACATGCCAAATATAAATAATTGACCGGCCTACGTCAGAGCGTCACACCATATTAGCAAAGTAAATTATGACTTTAATAGGTGATCATGATCGTTTATTTAATACTCGTTTCTGCCCTTGGCTTACGTAGACTTCATACAATAAGATTGTGACAATAGTTGTCAGTCGTTGACTCTAGGGTCATGACCTCATTGTCATCATAATCTACACGAAAAAACCTCCTCAGCCAGCGTTAAATCATCCATTTGCCTCTCTGGTAAATTAGAGAGGGTCGTGCTCCTGTAACTAAATGGCCTAATGATGATGATTACATGAAAGAATAAGACAAAAGACAAACAGTTTTCTTCTCTCTTCTTTTTCTCCTGTCTTACCTGGAGGTCTGTACCATAACGTGACGACTTCGTGCGAGTACGTGTGGCTGGGAACCGACTTGGCCCGCGCCAGCCCGAAATCCGCTAGCTTGAGCTCGCCGTGAGACCTTATGTGACCTCAGTAATCAATTATCACAATCCATATAAAAAAGAAAGAAGACTGTAATTGCTGTCTCACCTGGAGGTCTGTACCATAACGTCACGACTTCGTGCGAGTACGTGTGACTGGGAACCGACTTGGCCCGCGCCAGCCCGAAGTCCGCTAGCTTGAGCTCGCCGTGAGACCTTATGTGACCTCAGTAATCAATTATCACAATCCAGTTAAAAAGAAAGAAGACTGTAATTGCTGTCTCACCTGGAGGTCTGTACCATAACGTGACGACTTCGTGCGAGTACGTGTGGCTGGGAACCGACTTGGCCCGCGCCAGCCCGAAGTCCGCTAGCTTGAGCTCGCCGTGTGAACTTATGTGACCTCAGTAATCAATGATCACAATCCAGTTAAAAAGAAAGAAGACTGTAATTGCTGTCTCACCTGGAGGTCTGTACCATAACGTGACGACTTCGTGCGAGTACGTGTGGCTGGGAACCGACTTGGCCCGCGCCAGCCCGAAGTCCGCTAGCTTGAGCTCGCCGTGTGAACTTATGTGACCTCAGTAATCAATGATCACAATCCAGTTAAAAAGAAAGAAGACTGTAATTGCTGTCTCACCTGGAGGTCTGTACCATAACGTGACGACTTCGTGCGAGTACGTGTGGCTGGGAACCGACTTGGCCCGCGCCAGCCCGAAGTCCGCTAGCTTGAGCTCGCCGTGTGAACTTATGTGACCTCAGTAATCAATGATCACAATCCAGTTAAAAAGAAAGAAGACTGTAATTGCTGTCTCACCTGGAGGTCTGTACCATAACGTGACGACTTCGTGCGAGTACGTGTGGCTGGGAACCGACTTGGCCCGCGCCAGCCCGAAGTCCGCTAGCTTGAGCTCGCCGTGTGAACTTATGTGACCTCAGTAATCAATGATCACAATCCAGTTAAAAAGAAAGAAGACTGTAATTGCTGTCTCACCTGGAGGTCTGTACCATAACGTGACGACTTCGTGCGAGTACGTGTGGCTGGGAACCGACTTGGCCCGCGCCAGCCCGAAGTCCGCTAGCTTGAGCTCGCCGTGTGAACTTATTAGTAGGTTCTGTGGTTTCACGTCCCTGTTTCGAAGAAATAAGTATATTTATTAATTAAATACGTTAGCACAACGTTAGTACAGTTAGCGTCAAATAGTTCGTGACACCCAAAGTAGCCAAAAAGTTCACAACACGTCTTGTTAACTTGTCACGTTTTCTCAACTTTTTGGCCACTGGGTGTCACGAAGTACGAACTATTTGACACTGACTATACAAGGATTGCTAACGAAAGAACAAAATAATGTGGCATTAAAGATCGACAGGAATAAAGACTGTTTTTATTTTCATACAATAAAATTACTTCAACATACAATTAACCCCTGGAGAATCGAGTCATTGGGTTTCATGAATGCGAAGCAAAATAACGAGAGAACGATTTTACAGTAGTGGTCGGATGTTAGAGTTAAGTAGACCCATAATATTGTGTACAAATTATAGCGCTTCAACTTCATCGTAAATATGAGCTTTTCACCGAACTTGCGAAGCGCTCACCCGTGCCTATACTCAACGCATTATTTGCTGTTATTTAAAATCACATCTTTTGGAAGATAAATAATAATACATAATGTAATATAGGTACATGATGTCATATACTACGGGCTTGTCTCAGTAAAACTGTAAAGTATCACCGGGTGCAGGCATCGATATCTGCCGGCATCCCGCACGCCGGTCACGTCCGCAACGAACTTACGCTCGCCCGTGCCTATATTAAACGCGTTATTTGCTCTGCTCTTTTAAAGGCACATCTTTTGCTATGGGTGTATGATGACATAATGTATGTTTACTGCTCTATTGAATATACTGTAAGTAAGCAATAGTCATACTTGAGTATATTCTTTAGAATATTAGGTAGTCATAAGAAATTTTAATACAAATCAGAGTAATGTCATCTGAAAGTGACACTATTTTTAAACCATAATCTTATAATTATTTTTACATATTTGTGTCTCATGCATGACGGTAGTGGAGTAAAAAAATAAAGAATCGCGTTATTAATATAAAACGTGTAGGTGAAATAAACGAATATAATTTAAAGAAAACAACGTTTGACGATTAATTGACGTATGTAAAAAAACAAAAGTACATGATGCCAACATAAATAATTGTGATTTATTTGCGATTCGTTGTAAAATATTAGTCGATGTACTGATATAAATTACACAATTCACGACAAATACGTGATGTAACGTACCGGATACGTTATTACAACGAATGTAAGCTAATAAAACGAGCTATAACCAATTTGAAGTTTATTGCCGATGTGAAGTATACTCCGGAATATCGTAAAGTAAAAACTAATATCTATAAATAAAGTATCAATGAACATTAATCGAGTTACATACAGGGTGGGTTGATCAAGAGTTAAATAAAAATAAGAAGCCCGTATTGTAAAACGATACTCAAGTATGTTTTTTTACTAACGAATGGATAAATATTGAAACTAATCATAACAACCTTAAACCAATGCCCGAGTTTGAATCTATCGTCGTTTCATTACGGGCTTAAGATGAACTCGTTTCGTGTTGAAACATCCAGTCTATCAAATTAACAGCTTTTATTTGGACGAAAGCTAAACTAGATTCGAAGATTGTGCAAGTATTAAAATCTGGCAAAACGTTTATCAACACCTATTTTGATGGACTGACGACCTCAAGAAGATGGAAAAAGGCATGTGACAGTGCTTTGTGTCACTTCTTGGGGGAGGCTTACATCCATAATACAATAACAGCAGATAAATGATTCTTGATTCATTAGTAAACTGTCAATGGCTGAAATGATGTTGATACTTTCGCAACACAGCATTTATTGTCGAAAAGCAGTGATACGGTTAAGTAATACCTACTGGGAAAGCGCTTTTAGCTTTTTAAAAGCCTATTTGCAGATAATAAATTAATGACTATTATAACTTTCATACCTGTGTAAAACTCTTCTCCGATGGCAGTAGGACAGGCCGCGTAGCAGCTGGAACATGAACAGTCTGACGTTGTGGTGGTTCAACCCGCCCGGATGCCTCTCCATGTATTGTGATAGGTCCGTGTCCTGAGGGAAAAGGTTAATTGAAACACAACATTCTTGTGACGTAGGCATGAAGATAAAGGTGCGTTTACGTTGATGCTGAGATACGTAGAGCGGAGTTTTCATGCATTTCCGACGCTTAAATACGTCGGATTTATCAAAATACTGGTCCATCAAGCTCCGCTCAATCATCAATGGAAACAGATAATATTTATTTAGGGCTCTTGTATGAAGGGTCAAGAGAGTTGATTGTTATTTTTCATGTAAAGCATAATGTTAAAAAAATTAATGAGATAAATCTTGCATAAAATTTCAATCTGTAATACGCAAATACGAATTACGAAGATACTTAGCGTTATAGGGCTGATCATAAACCCTTATTTAATACTTATCACTATCTATAGCTTGGTCTTTGTAATTGTTGAAAATATTAGTCGGTACTTTAAATAAATACCGACTGTACAGAAAAATGTTTTATTTTATTTTATTCCATTTAAATAAAATTGGTTAGTTCGGCCGTCGAAAATAAATAATACAAGCAAATACGTATGCCGAACGTTTGAGTGTTAAATTTTACCTCAATTTATAGCACTTCCGTTGTACTTAATACTTATGTGCTGAAATGTGGAATAATATTGCTTCAAAATATACTCGTAAATTCGTCTATTTTGTTGGAAAACTTTTACGCTGAAAGATAATTAACATTTAAATACTCGTTACGAAGTTGATCGCTCAGATACCGAAGTTTCCTCATTTACATGATGCGATCAGAATATGAGCACAACAAGGGTGGAATATTGTATTATTGTTTGTTTATCAAAGAACGATTTAATTAATATACTTATCAAGGAGCAAATTAAAAACTCACTTCCTTATTCCAAGACCGTGTAACGTAAAGCATCAATAAATTAAAACAAGCGTATCAGGAAATTAAAATACAGTCTTTTGCAGAGATTCTGTATAAATCAACAATTGAGACGTAGTTGGTACAAAAAAGTATAAGGCTGAGTTGCACGATCTAACTTTGACCGTAACTGTAACGATAACCGGTATTTTTTGTATTGAGTTTAACAGATTTTTGACGTTTGTTAAAGTTAAAGTAAGATGGTGCAACCCAGCCTTAGATTTGGAAAATAAAAGAACAACGAAATAACAGCTGCAGTCTGTTTTATGCACAAATTCATCAGTACGAATCCCGTGCTAATATTAATCAAAACTAAACTAGAAAACATTAAATTGAGAACACAAGAACAATATTTCACGGAAGCAAACTCGTATTTCGACTGCACATAACTAAATATTAACTCGCCACAAATACAAACAACAACGTGCAAGTTTCGTGGTACCGTTCGCAGTAGTTCGACATATTCCCCTTATTACAAAAAAGTTAAACCCGGGACTAACACTGGTTTAAATTGTCATTTCCATACTAAATGTCTATTTAAACCAGAGTTTAACTTTCTGTAATAAGAGGGATTGGGTTCGGCGTCTTGTAACGAGGAGTATGAAAGTGTAGGATTTACAACATGGAAAAGTTAAACTTAGGCTGAGTTGCATCACCTTATTTTAACCGTAACAATAACAATAAATGGTGCTTTTGTACGGAGTTTGACAGATTTTTGACGTTTTTTAAAGTTAAAGTACGATGGTGCAACTCAGCCTTAGAAAATTGTGGACGTCGTTGATTGTTCTGTTCAGAAAACACGTGACAATTTCAGTATCAGCCGGCTTGATGCAGCTTATGGATAGTCAATTAATCACAAGAGTCTCGGTAGGGGGAGTTCGGAAAAAGACACGACATGTCACAAGGGAGGTGTGCAGTGAGATATCACGTGTGTACATTTTTTCTATGACCGCGGCTACTGAACTACTGGCAGAAGAAAAATGATTTTGGCGCCAAATACGTTTGACGTTGCCCCGTATGTTGTTTGTTTGTATCTAAAGTTAATATTAATATTTTAGGAAAAGGTGGTGAGGGTGTAGTCTAAAACTTCACCACGTAATGGGAGGAGGGGGTGAATAAAAAAAAAGTTTCTAAGAACATTGTGTGATTAATGGGTGAGGCCCTTCTTGTTGGAAACGTATTCTGTTTCAGGCTGTCTCCAAGTTTCTTTATTTATCTACTTACGCTTCGAATGCATTACAGTTTGAGATAGGGCAAGGGTAAGCGAACGCAGTAACAATTTCAGATTAGGGCAAGTCGGGTAGGTATGTGACCGCCTAAGGCGCCGGGAGTAAAAGTGACGATGCGGGGAAAGGGCGAAGTTAAAATGTGGAAACCCTTTTTGGCCATGAATGTTGACATACAACATCATATTGCTATTGATGTAAGATAAGTATAGGGATACTTTAGTTCATATATTTATTTTAAAACTTAGATATCTGTAGCATAAAGATTAAAGACATTCGTTGAGATGAGGATAAGAAGAGTGGTGAAGTGGAAGCCTCGAGACGAAACAAACGTCTGTCAATTCGATTCGATGTTCAGCTTCCAAAAGACGCACCACGAATGTGTCATCCTTTTCTCGCAGAATGATCTCTACTAAGGAGTGACAAGGACATCTAGATGACTCACCACAAACTCGAACACGAAGGTTAGCGTCTCCCGCGTGTGCAGTATGTCGTGCAGCGTGACGATGTTGGCGTGCTTCAACTCTTTTAGAAGCGACGCCTCACGAATCGCCGTGAGAGGCTTCCTTCCTTTTCTCGTAGCCTGATTTCTACCAAGGTGGGACAAGGACAGCCAGATGACTCACCACAAACTCGAACACGAAGGTCAGCGTCTCCCGCGTGTGCACTATGTCGTGCAGCGTGACGATGTTGGCGTGCTTCAACTCTTTTAGAAGAGACGCCTCACGGATCGCCGTGAAAAGCTTCCCTCCTTTTCTCGCAGTCTGATTTTTATTATAGAGAGACAAGGACAGCCAGATGACTCACCACAAACTGGAACACGAAGGTCAGCGCCTCCCGCGTGTGCACTATGTCGTGCAGCGTGACGATTTAGGCGTGCTTCAACTCTTTTAGAAGAGACGCCTCACGGATCGCCGTGAAAAGCTTCCCTCCTTTTCTCGCAGCATGATTTCTACTAAAGAAAGACAAGGACAGCCAGCTGACTCACCACAAACTCGAACACGAAGGTAAGCGTCTCCCGCGTGTGCACTATGTCGTGCAGCGTGACGATGTTTGCGTGCTTCAACTCCTTTAGAAGCGACGCCTCACGGATCGCCGTGAAAGGCGCGCCCTCCTCTTCTTGCAGTCTGATTTCTTTCAGTGCTACTACTTGCTGTGTTAAACTGCGGACAAAGAACGGTTCATTTAAGAAATTATCTTTGAGTTGAGTACAATTGTACGTTTTCACTGATATACTTAAGTAGAGGAATTAGTAGGTACGTGGTCGTGTGAACGGAATGACATAGCTATCTCAAGTTCATTGGCTAGACAGCTAAACTGTCTTGTTCTAAAATGTCTTGTTAACACCTCATTTGCTGTTAATGGGCTGCTAACAACGCCTTTTTACTAGTCATTCAGAAACCGTAGAAGTAGACTTCGTTTTAGATTAGAAAAGAATGGGACCAGATTGAGGCAGGCACTTTTAATTAAAATACCAAGAAATAACTGTCAAGTTGTCAAGTCGAATTGCCAGTCAATGAGGCGAGAAATAAACGTTATTTACAGCCGTCGAAAACTATTCTCTAGTAATTACCCTATTACGTTGTAATTACACATAGATGAGTGAGCATTAAACTGTACTAATCTGTTCTCTCGTTAGCTCATTTATTCGCATAGGGGGAGTTAGCGCATCGTAACTTTGGAGTGTTTGCGGACGGTGTACACAAACTGGGACGAAACCATAAACCATGGTAGCGCTGAAAGCGCAGGCTCTTTGAATATGGCCAAAAGGTTCTCATATAATATTCAATGACAGAATGAGTATCAGGAAAATGATATTTTATTATTATTCCTGTTAATCTAAAATGGCTCTACAAGGTGTATAGGTTTGTTAGCAACGAAAGGATTAACGCTGATTTGGCTATCAAATTACACCTGAGGAACGCGGGGAGTCGTACGGGATAACAAAAAGATATTCCTTGTGGCATTCGAACGTTGGCGGCGAGCTAGAACGCCATGACCCGAGAGCCTTTTAAAATACCAGTGTGTTGTGTACCTATGATTGATGGCTTGAATTGGCAAATTATGGTATTGGTGAATAAGTTGGTTTCAGACTATTTGTATTTAATATCCAATTTGTGAGTGAGTATGTGTACGAATCTAACATATCAGAAGTGAGTCCGACGCCCATTGGTATGTAAATTATTTATTTTTATTATTATTGATCAAGTTGCATGAAAAAACAAGTGAGTTTTCTGGAAGTAGCCGCTCAATCAATAGTTGACTGGCAGAAAATAACATTAAGTCCTTATTTTATGCACTTTTATTTTGTGCGATAAAGTTCACAACAAATGAATGGAAAATACAGTGAGAAAAAAAAACTGATATTTGGATACTGTTACTTACGTTATTATTTGAGAAGATCTGCTGTGATAATTTAAAGTTTTAATTTAATTTAAGAAAAAAAAAAACCGCGAAGTGAGTAATTTTTGGTATGAGGATGTCATGATGCAATTTTTGCAAAGAAAGATTCCTTTTATTTATCAAGAATTGAAGATATTTATTATTTAGATCTTCGCAAGAAACTAAGTAAGAATTTGGAATTGCTAAAAGTGATTTTATAGTGAATATATTGAATTGGTAAAAGTACCATCTTACTAAGAGAAAAGATAAGTTCTCAGCAGATAGTTTATGATTAATATAAAGATATATCATAATGGCACAGTTCATTAATTTTATTTTTACTCCATCATTGGTTATTAAGATCTTAACAAAATAAATGTGAATTATTTGAAAGTGACAAAGGATTNATGAAACAACAAGTGAGTTTTCTGGAAGTGACCGCTCAATCAATAGTTGACTGGCAGAAAATAACATTGAGTCCTTATTTTATGCGCTTTTATTTTGCGCGATAAAGTTCACGACAAAAGAATGGAAAATACAGTGAGAAAAAGGAAACTGATATTGTTTTGGATACTGTTACTTACGTTATTAATTGAGAAGATCTGCTTCGATGGTTTAAAATTTTAATTTAATTAAAATAAAAAAAAAATAAAAAACGCGAAGTGAGTAATTTTTGGTATGAGGATGTCATTATGCAATTTTTGCAAAGAAAGATTTCTTTTATTTATCAAGTATTGAAGATATTTATAATTTAGATCTTCGCAAGAAACTAAGTATGAATTTGGAATGGCTAAAAGTGATTTTATAGTGAATATATTGAATTCGTAAAAGTACCATTTTACTAAGAGAAAAGATAAGTTCTCAGCAGATAGTTTATGATTAATATAAAATATATCATAATGGCACAATTCATTAATTTCATTTTTTTTACTCCATCATTGGTTATTAAGATTTTAACAAAATAAATTTTTTGAATTATTTGAAAGTGACAAAGGATTATCAGAAGTTATGTGTGTCAATTATGGAATATATTACTGTGAAATAATATGGTGATGTAAATTAAGTAAATTTAAATTACCCATAATTATAGAGTTCGTAATTATTTTGTATTCAATTAATGTAATATTACATGCTGTTTGGAACAAACACTGGTCAAACACATCCTGACTCGGATTGCGCTAGCGAAGCGAACCTGTGTTTATATTAACACCATTAAGATAAAATTTCGTGGCGAGGCCTCGAAACAATAAACACCATTGTGTGTGGTTCTAAAGGTTCAAAGTAAGTACTTGTGATTTGTTACTATTATGATGAATTTGGTTCGACAATTTGTCGTGATTGTGCAAACATGATTTATGGAGATACATATATTTTAAGAGTTACTGGTAATAATAATTTATATTTTGTGTATTTTAGCCCATGGAAAGGTATGGTACCTGCTATATTTACAAATGGCAAATGTACTGAAATAATCATAACATTGACTGACTGAACACATGGACGATGAAAGTTGGTAATTTTAACAAATCGATAATAAGTAGGTAAGACTACCTAATTGTCGTAGAGATGTGAACACAAATGATAAGTGTTTTGATTTTGACGTCGAAAAATAAATAAGATTCGGTAATTAGTTCATTACTCCAGTGAATGGAGTTGTTTTGAAGATACGTAATTAACACTGTCAGAGTGGTTAAAGATTGGTCAAAGTTTACAAGTTGAAAAGCGACACCTACGTGATTGTCTAAATGTGTCTGCGTTACATTTATGTTACCACACGCAATGTATTTGAAATAAAATCGTATCTGAGGTAAATGAAGTGATAAGTAAGTAATTTGTTTTCAACCATCAATGTGGGATTTAACAGTTGGGCTTTCAGATTTGGTAGCCATTGTGCTAGAATGTTTGTGATATTATATGAGTAACGTATTGGTTATTACGTCACTATGAAAAATTGAACTTGAGTTAATAATGGTTTGATACCTAAGTGTAAAGATCACGAAAGTCCGGTGATGTTGTGATGATAACAATGATTTTACAGATACTGATTGAAAGATTTGAATTAAATGATAATTTGTTAACCGGAACAAGGTAATTTAATACATAACTGATGTGTAATAAATCCAGTGCAGCTTATACAGCCATGTGTTGTGAGCGATACCTACCATGTAGTATCGATGAATATGATTTTAATCAAATTACTGGTTTTTACAACAGTTATTTAGAGCGGTTTTAAGTTTACGTTTGTTGATCTTGTTGAAGCGGATGTAGTGAAATTAGAGCTAGATAAATTGTGTACCATATGGGTAACAGTGTTTTAAAGCATACCTACAATTGATTTACCAAGAGACAGTTTATTGTGATTGGTGGTATAACCAATTAGCAGTGAAAATAGATACATCATTGAAATTACGTTATATTAGTTTGAGTGTAACTATCCCGTTGGGAAAAGTTATGGTGTGTTAATGTTGTAATTATTATTATTATTTGATGACTGAGTAAGAAAGGTAGGCCGAATAGCAAGCAGCGCTCACATAATTGTGAAATGGATGCTGAAGCTTAAACGGTGCTCACTCAGTAGGTAGATAGATACCTGAATTATTGAGTAAGGGAAATGCTATGAGAACAAATACAAGGGTGCCAGAGATTATTCTTATAAATAGACAAATTACCCATAATAATTGATGCAAATCGAACTATTTGATTCTAGTAACACAAATTGTGTCGAATACCCTATATTTTATAGTGAATGAATAGTGATGAATGAACTAACAAATAAGTAAGCTATAGACCTGAATCACTATGAAGAAGAGACTAATATACGAGTGATACTATGTGAAAAGAATGTATGTTTATTGATATGTGAAATGTGATAGTGATGTATGTAAAAAAAAAAAAAATATCCGAGACAAATGTCATACGACTTAAAAATAAAAGAAGCAACCTGCTTATTTGCGAGACAAGGAATCGAAACAGACTCGTCGTTCTGAAGTTCATATAACATGGTCACATTCTCTGTAATTTATGTAGAGTTTAATGTTTACCTACCATTTTCGAGCAGTGTACTAGTGGACCTGCCTGATAATGAATTGATAACACAATACTAATGATTTATGAGACTCAATTTAGCTGTTTTTACGTATATGCGAGACCTACAACACTGAAGACGAAAGAACTAGAGGTGTGTAAATTGGAGAATACAACTATGTAAATTCAAAACAGGACTACGAGGAGGCATGTGCCTGACAGACAGATCTTAGAGCATTTTGTTAATTGAGAGCAGCTTCTACGAGTGTCATACGGTGAAAACAATGTACTCAATTGAGTAGATAATATAAAATCCTCGCATGGATAGATGTTATAATATTATACAGAAATAAATTTAACCACATTTCAAGGTACGTGTTGCACCCACTCCTCTGAAGGTTGGAGACTCTACACTCGAAGTTGTCGACAATTATGTNATATAAAATCCTCGCATGGATAGATGTTATAATATTATACAGAAATAAATTTAACCACATTTCAAGGTACACTTAAAATATGGTATACGAAAGTTTAAAATAAGTAATGTACTTATTTGGTGATTAAGTTAAATCAGAATGATATTCCAGGGATGGAAATAAAAGTAAAAGGTTAATAAATGGAACGTTAAGAAAATGAAAAAAAAAGTTGCCTGTTGATAATGGATATAATACGAGTAGCAAAAGATACCTTAAGCAGGCTTTTGACGGAGGACAAAATTTTATTGAAAACCCGATCACTAGAATAAATGAAATATTAATAAAATAGAGCGATAATTGCAAACAGTAAAAGTTTACGTTTATCTTGGCGATTCTCGAAGTGGCTGTTCCAGTGTTAAATGAAGACATTATTTTAGTACATATATGTATCTATTTACATGGGACTAAACTTCTTTATAATGATTCAAGTTCATTGGTGGAAGAGTTAGTAAGTACTTACTGAATTCTGCAACGATCGACCCAGTTCACAAGAGTTATAACGCATACTTATTTGCTTCCCACTTTTAAAATCTGAAGATAATGATGTTACACCGGAAATGTTACATTACATTTCCGGTATTCCGGACTGTAACTGAATTTAACAGCATAAGATAATGAAAAGTTGAAGATGATAATGTAATAATTAATTGGCCACATATGAAAATTTGTCCATGGAAGTCGATACAAGTGTGGACACTGAGATGTTTACAAACATTTCAAATGACCGACTCCAGGCTCGAGTGTAGTTATTGTTATAAAACATTATCGGAACATTATGTATACGAAATTCATACATAAATAATTAAGTTGCAAAGGATACAACAAGTCGTAGTTCATTTAAATGAGAAGAGTTTTAATGGTGGACTTTATGAAACTGAACAATAATGGTGAATGATGAAATCAAAGTGATTGTGTTATTGTTTTACATATTATAGGTACGTTTGGTGAAAGTACTTATTAATATACAGGGTGTCCCAAAAACAATGGATAACCTTGTAACCATCGATAGACCTCGCCATGGTCTCCCTAACGTCCAATTTTGACCCCAGTAAAAATATCACTGTTATCAAGATTTTTAAGTTTTTGTGCATTTTTACAAAATTGCCACCTGTGATCACTTTTTCTCATGCCATTTCTACAAATGAGGATATTTTTCAATCTAGTTTTTTTCCTTATCACAAGGGATAGTTGGGTTATCAAAAAAAATGATTAAAGTTCAACAAATTAGTTTAAAAGTACGAAAATTTTAAGAAATTGCAGAGAAGAAGGAAAAATTAATTCATTGTCGTGCACTTTTGATCAGCCATCGTGTAAAAAAAATGTAGGAAGACCATCGTGCCCATTATCTTAAAAACTTCCTTGGTTAATTGAGATTCTAAAAAGGTATCATAAGCCTATGTATTCTGTATAATTTTTATCTTATGGCTACTTGAATAGCAACTAGTATGAAAACTGCAGAAATGAAATGACGGCGAATAAGGCAACAGGGTTCAAGTGGAGGCTACGTACCGGAAAGCGCATCGTAGGACGTCCACTTACAAAGTAGACCGACGACCTCATAAACGTAAGCAGCAAGGTGCTGGATGCAGGCCGCTACCAAGCGGTCATTATGAAAATCATTGGGGTACAGGCCTATGTTCAGCAGTGGACGTCCTATGGCTGAAATGATGATGATGATGATGAAAAATGTTGCTTTATTTAAATTCCTACGCTTAATATTATCCATTTGTATTTAATGCCACTATGCAGTCCTAATTTAACTATTACGAAAAAAACTCATTTTTGCAGTTTTCATACTAGTTGCTATTCAAGTAGCCATAAGATAAAAATTATACAGAATACATAGGCTTATGATATCTTTTTAGAATCTCAATTAACCAAGGAAGTTTTTAAGATAATGGGCACGATGGTTTTCCTACATTTTTTTTACACGATGGCTGATCAAAAGTGCACGACAATGAATTAATTTTTCCTTCTTCTCTGCAATTTCTTAAAATTTTCATACTTTTAAACTAATTTGTTGAACTTTAATCATTTCTTTTGATAACCCAACTATCCCTTGTGATAACTAGATTGAAAAATATCCTCATTTGTAGAAATGGCATGAGAAAGAGTGATCGCAGGTGGCAATTTTCTAAAAATGCACAAAACCTTAAAAATCTTGAAAACGGTGATATTTTTACTGGGGTCAAAATTGGACGTTAGGGAGACCATGGCGAGGTCTATCGATGGTTACAAGGTTATCCATTGTTTTTGGGACACCCTGTATACATTTACTACTATACATTTAGTGGACGTGACAACAAAGAAAAGTATATTTACTGCCATCTCAGTGAAATAATCCAAGATGTATGTATACAGATACATGATAATGTGTTCCAACTTATAGAAAACAGTGAATTTTTATAAATGGGATACACTTTTACAAGTGTACAAACATAGGTACGATTAACACGTGGTAAAATCTTTATCTACAATAATGAGAAATAAATAATTTGAATTTGAATAAACATGTCTTGTCTTATGAAGTGGTAGACATATTTTATTTATTTTGACGAATATAAGTGGTACTTCATTAGTTTGTCACACTTAAAAAGCATTACTGAAACTTATGATAGTGATCTAATCCACCATACCGTGTATGCGAGATGTGAGTAGTACATCCAGACTCACCACTATTTCCTTGAGTAAAGGAGCAGCACTAAAGTTATCAAGCATTTATAATTCCAAAAAAACCCTGGACAACAGTGCAGTAATAACAAGGCCGATTGTGAATCTAGCGAATACAAGAATTGAGACTAAAGTGAATTTAAAATGAGAGATTTGAAATGTGAAATAGTCACATCACCAATGGATACTTACTTTACAATATAGTGCAATGAGAGTTGAGACTAGAGTGAGTCTAACTAGAGGTTTGACAATGTGAAATAAATAGTTGTTACCAATGGATCCTACTTTAGGATATAATGCATTGAGAGTTGAGACTAGAGTGAGTCAACTAGAGACTTGACAATGTGAAAAGTCGTCACCAATGGATACCTACTTTAAATTATGAAAAGCGCATTGAGAGTTAAGATTAGACATGTGGACTATCCAATTACTACTCATTTTGGGATATGTACTATCGGGGACTCTTCCGCCTGACCACTTTGTAGAAATTTTAGCGTAAGCGCATCGCTCCGGTCACGTGCTCACCCCGTCTCTAATTGGTTACGCATTTTACTATATTTTTACTACGACCAATAAGAGACAATCAGGGCTTAGGTTGCAATACGAAATACCATTGTGCACTTTATTGTCATACGGTTAAGGTTTAAAACGAAATGTTTCTTTTTTTTCAATCTTTCTTCGTTTTAGGCTGAGTTGCACCACCTAACTTTGACCGTAGCTATAACGGTAACCGGTGCTTTTTGTATGGAATTTAAAAGTATGCCGAAGAGCAAGCAGTGCTCACTTAATCGTGAAATGGATGCTGAAGCTTAAGCGGTGCTCACTCAGTAGATAGCTGAATTATTTTAAAACTACATTATGAGTAAAATAAAGAAACGCTGGTCTCAATGTGACAATTTTATACGATTTACTGAATTGAAATGGAACGCTAATGTTTATAAATCTTATATTATTATGAGTGAAAAGGAGGCCGAAGTGCAAGCGGTGCTCACTTTAATTGTGAAAGGGATGTCGAAGCACAAGCGGTAGTCACTCAGTACCTGAATTATTACGAATATGTATATTGTTAGTGAAAAGGGGGCAGAAGTGTAAGCGGTGCTCACTCAAAAATGTGAAAGGGATGTCGAAGCACAAGCTGCGCTCACTCAGTACCTAAATTATTATAAGTTGTAAAATTGCTACACCCTTACAGAGTTAATATTAAGTATGATACAGTATGTGATGAAATATGACTTGCAAATAATGAATAAATAAATATTATGAATATACATATTATTATGAGTGAAAAGAATGCCGATGCACAAGCGATGCTTACTCAGTTTTTGAACAAGTAGAATCTTAAAGGGATTGTTCGACGAGTTTGCAAAGAGACCATATTAAACTTAGAAAGTCTATCACTGTACTGCTTAAGCGATCGGCCCATGCCGTACCTATATGTTATATACCTCAGGCATCTCTTCTGTACCCTTTCAATGGTATTAATGTGGACATTGTAGTAAGGGGACCATATCGGACAGCAATACTCTAAGACACTTCTAACCAAGCTAAAAAATAAGCACAACATACTACGGGGCCTCCTGAAAGATTTGGTGGTTCTTATAATGAATCCTAACAGTTTATTACTCACTTTAATAATTTGTTCATAATGATGGTGAAATGTTAATTCCTCGTCAAAATATACACCTAAGTCCCTTATGACCTCACTTCTACCCAGTACTTTGTCCCGGATACAGTACTGGTAAAAAGTTCTATTTTTCTTTTTTGTGAAGGAGATAACACTGCTTTTGTTCACATTGAGGCTCATTTTATTTAAAGCACACCAATCAGACACAGTATTGAGATCTCTTTGAAGTACTTCACAATTCGCTGTATCCGTGACATCAGTATATATTTTCAGATCATCAGCATAAAGAAGAGAGGGACATGACAGTCGATTAATCAAGTCGTTTATAAAGATCACAAATAGAAGCGGTCCTAAATGCGATCCTTGTGGGACTCCAGATGATACAAATATAGGAGAGGATGAAAAGCCCTTCACAGTCACCAATTGAGTTCTGTTACTTAAGTAGGATACCACCCATCTCAACAAACTCCCATGTATACCGTAGTACGAGAGTTTATAACACAGGAGTGAGTGGTCCACCTTATCGAAGGCCTTGCTAAAATCGAGATACAGAGCATCGACTTGACCCCCTGAAGCAAACACATGGCAGAGATAGTTTTTAAACTCCAAGAGGTTGCTCAGGGTAGACCTCCTTCTAACAAAACCGTGTTGTCTACTAGATATGTGCCCACTAAGATGATCGTAGAGCGGCTCATAAACCAATGACTCAAAGAGCTTCGCGAAACATGGAAGGATGCTTATTGGCCGATAATTTAAACAAGATGTCTTATCGCCCGTTTTATAAATGGGAATGACATTGGCCGCTCTCCAACGGGAAGGAAACATTCCAGTTTCAATCGATTTATTAAACAACAGGCATAACGGCAATAATAGTTCATCACAGCAGTTCTTTATAAATTTAGGAGGGATATCGTCAGGTCCTGGACCTTTACTTATATCTAAGGCTTTTATTTTCAAGGCAATCTCCTGTTGTGTGAAATTGAAATGATGAAGTGTGGAATTAGAAACTGCGGGAAGGTCCAAAGATTCAGGCGAAACAGTCGAACATGGACCGTCGTATACCGAGCCAAAGAACTCTGAAAAAAGTTCGCAAATGCCTTGACCATCGGAACATTTCCTGCCCTTATAAAACATTGTGTTGGGAATTGTAGCTCTACCCTTCTTCCCATTCACATACCTCCAGAATACCTTTGGGTCATCCTCTAAGCAATCCTCAACTGAGGACAGATATACGTCATGACATTCGGTTATCAGTCTTTTGGATCTCGAACGAAGAAGTGTGAAAGTGTCATAGTCCCGTGGGTTGCCAAACTTTTTGTAGCGACGGTGGTATTTCGATTTCTCGCTAATACATTGTATTAGTGCTCTACTGTACCAAATAGGGTATTTAGATGAGACACTTTTAGTGGTAGGGGTGTGCTTAGATATAAGTTCATTAAGTTTTGAATAAAACTCATCAACACATACATCGATATCACTGGATGACAGCAAATTTTCCCAATCAACACAGCATAAATCTATCCTTAGATTATTATAGTTGCATTTATTGAAGTTAAAACGATTTTTGTTGTTAGGTTTAACAGGTTTATCTTTTTCTATGTTTAAAATTTCGACATAATAAGCGAGATGATGACAGTCCACTTGACATATAGGATCGGTCACTGCAACAGAAACAGCACCGGCCGATAGGGTTGCAAAAATTAGATCAAGGTAACGATTATTTCCATTAGGAATAGTGTTAAATTGAATAAGACTGCAGGCACTTACAGTTTCCAACAGCAAGTTGGCTTTGCGATCCAGAGGATTAGAGGGGGTCACATAATTAAGTTGAGAGTGACTAATCCATGAGATATTAGGGGTATTGAAATCTCCAATTAACAAAAATATATCCTCTAATTTAGAATTGAATATCACTTTTTGACAATTATTATGGAACTCGGCAACGTTCTCCAGTGGTAGATCCGGAGGCAAGTAACATAGGCATATATGTGTAGAACGTTCGCTAAATTTATGGGGCAGAATTGTTAACCATAAGTCCTCGGCCCTACTCTCCCAACAAGTTTGCCTGGTAACACTTATTTGGCTTTTTATGGCTACAAAGACGCCTCCCCCGCTCTCTTTAGAGGAGTTCGAGCTATTGCGATCCCTTCTGAATACAGTGTACCGGCTATCTATTACTTCACCATCAAAGACCCCACTATCGAAATTAGTTTCGACCAAACAAACTATATCATAATTGTTAACAGATAAGTTTAAATATATTTCCTTAATTTTAGATCTAGCTCTTCCTAAATTTTGGTAAAATAACGTATACATACTTAATAATTTAAAATGTAAACTAAATATTAACGCTTCAATACTTATAAAAAAACGAGAGAACACTAACAATAAAGCTACTGCGATGTTCAGTTGATTTTACTAAGAGACTCCGTATTATTTACAAGTAAGGCACCCGAAGAGTCGTCTTTACGAACGTATATTTGGCTATATTTAATCCACACATATTTATAATTATGATCTCTAGCTACCTTCCTTGTTGCTGCGTGTAGTGACTTTAGTTCAGGAGATAGGTGTTCGTTAACATATATCTTGCACGCATCACCAGTAATGCCCAAGTCTGAGGACAGTAACCCGCGCCCGGAGTGGGACTTATTATAACGGTGCGTAGCTGACAAAACCAAGTCTCTGACGCGCGGTGACGAAAACGTCACTATGATATTACGTGGTCTATTAGAAGCAGTATTTTGTTTTGCCACTCTCCGGCATGCGCTAATATGGCTGTCGTCCACTGATGCCTTTACCGCCTCGCACAGGTTCTTGAAGAGCGCCACCACATTCTCATTCCTACGTTCGGTTGCCGCCTGCAATTCAATGTTACAGCTCCGTGATATCTTTTCAATCGTCGCCAGGCGGGTGTTAAGGCGGTTAATCTCTACCTGAAGCTTTGTTGGGAACCCAACAACGCGCGGGAGGAGACGTGCGGGCGGCGTACAATGACTAACGTCACCTCGGGCCGACAGCGTCATCATCGGCTGCGCTCGGGTCACACACTCGCCTTTGGGACACCACCGTCGTCGCACGATTACCGCGTATCCTAGATAATTATTGTAAATTAGGCTGGCGAGAATACAGCACCTATTTTTATACAGTCCGCTATTTCATTTATTACTAATATTCGTTAGGACCCTAACAAGCTTTGTGTTTTCGTCTTCCAAAGACTTGATTTTTGTGGCAGTTTTGGTGATGTCCGATTGAAGTGATTTTTGTTCTGCGCAAATGAAGTCGGTGGTAGCGCTAAACTCCTCCTTGATGGCATCCATTGTAGAACCAATCTCGTTTTTAACCATCTCTTTGACATCATCTCTTAGAGCCATTCGGAAACTCTCCATAAAAGCAGAAAGAGACGCACTGAGCTTCTCATCAAGGAGTATACTAATTCGTTCCAGAGTGATCTCTTCTTTATTAAAAGTTGCCCTGGGAGATGATAAAACTCCAGTAGGGGAGGTAGTACCGGGATCGTCTAAGTCGCAGGACATGTTCATGCTGTCTGAGGCCGGCGCCATTGATGTGCTCTGGCGTACAGGAGTGTTGTCATTTGAACGCGCACGGCGGGTAACACTGCTACAAGCTGGACATATCCATGTTGCTTTATATTCTTTGTTAAGTGTCAAAAATTGCTTTTTGTCTATGTTAAGGCATTGAATGTGGAATTTGCTAGTGCACAGACGGCATTTCATGCATTCTTTTGTATCCAAATACTTTTTGCACGCACTGCAGTTCATGGTTACTGAGTATGTAATCAATGAATAACGCCTTATAAAATTTTACTAGCACGAATTGACACTCCGTAGTAACTAACAGCCGAGCTAGTCAAGGATGGCGGGCACAACGGTGACGTCACTCGAAGCGTAGGGGCCAATGACTAATTTCGACCGCAACGCGCCCGGTATCCGTGGTCCAGTGGTATCGGATTCAACACTCACGCGTCAGGCCCGTGGTTCAAATCACCGGTCGCGGCGCCGAAACCGCAGTTGGCAGCGCCGGGACTCCGCCACCGTCTTGGAGCGAGGGCGAAGCCCGAGCTCTTGAGATCACAGTTCAACAAAAAATTAAATTGAAATTGCAAAGCACTTCGAGACGCCTCGACACGTCCGTCCTCAATCGTAGCTAGTGACAGAAGGCAAACTTTTGTTAACTGTTTAAGTATTATTTCGTTTAAAGTTTAATTGTTATTGATTTAAGACCTTGTGTAAAGACACTTAATGTGCAATAAAAAAATGAATTTGAAATAAAACTAACTTAATATTATAANACTATCTTTATGCCAAATTTCATCAAAATCGGTTGCGAGGTTTAAGCGGGAAAGCGTAACAGACAGACAGACAGACAGACAGACAGACAGACAGACAGACAGAGTTACTTTCGCATTTATAATATTAAGTTGGGATAGTTGGGATAGTTGGGATGGGATGGGATTAGTAATTAGTAATAATGCGTTATTATTATCGGATGAACATGTACTCGTAGGAAGTTGTCTCATAAATAAAACGTATCACTTTAAAAATAGCAGCCTTAAAAATGTTATTAGCACACTAAGGCTGAGTTGCACCAACTAACTTTGACCGTTACTACGAGTGTAACGATAACCGGTGTTATTTGTGTGGAGTTTGACAGATTTTTGACGTTTCTCAAAGTTAAAGTAAGATGGTGCAATCCAGCCTAACAATTATAACGTAGCTAGTAATATCAGTAATATCTATTTTTTAATGTGACATTGTTTTTCTATCGATACCTACAACGATAGTGTAGGGTCAATATACTTTATTATTAATGTTTAGAAACTTTTCATAGTAATTTCTTTATAATAATAATAAGTACTACCTAACTCCTAAATCGAAATTACGATTAAAAGAAATGTAATTTTACTTCCCTAGTTACACAATAGCAGTAAAAATAAATTGTTGTAACAATGTTACAAAGTCTTGAAGTAAATACAGGAAATAATAAAGAACTGACTATCGTTGGTTAAATATTTCACAGATTTTTTTTATTTACCTCAAAAAGCAAGTTTGCTATTGAATTTAGGTCTATCACTATTAACACACTCACGACACCCACGCCGTAATGGTTCTTTGATTTAGCGAATCGACGTCAAAATATCACTAATGTTTTCCTCAAACAGTGCTGCCCTCTTTTTGAAAGTGGTGCTCAAACATCCTTTGTGTCTGACACAGATAAACACGGAAAAGATTTTGGCCAATTTGCATTTTAAAAGCCTAAATTAGCACGTTGAATCATCAGAAAAATGTGGAGCGATGACCGACCTGAAGAATGCCAAAGGATTTAGGCACTTTTCGTAACTTCAGACTGACGTTAACAATGAGCTGTTGTATCTAATTCTAGCTTTTGCCTGCGTTTTGTTATGTTCTTATCGTGTCGACAACAAACGTACACAGTGTCAGCCCAAAACTCCGCTACAAGAGTGGCGTTGTCAGCAGCATTCATTAAATCCTCCTGAGTTCAGTTGCTCGGGCACTCAGGGCACGACATCATGTGCTTCATCGACTGGGGAACAAAACCGCACCGATTCTTGGATGGCTCAAACATAGAGCCAATGTTACTGTTTTGAGATTATTCGTTACACACATACAAAAGTACAAATCTTTCCTGTAATATTAGTACGATTTGAGAAACATATACATATCTTTAACTAGCGACCCGCCCCGGCTGCGCTTTAGTTCAGTAGTACATAATAAACCTTATCATCACTCTATCTTATATTATACTAGCTTTCCGCCCGCGGCTTCGCCCGCGTGGAATTTTGTCTGTCACAGAAAAACTTTATCGCGCGCGNCAAATAATAAAAAATGATACTTTTTGATAAAAAAAACTGCTTTTAAATTCGTGTTTTTTTGGTTATTTAATAAATTCCTCCAAAAAATGCCCCTATAACCGGTGGTTTTTATTACTTTGTATTATTCTCTATCGTATTACCTTCGTAAAACCAAAAACCGCATGTCTCTATCCCTATCACAACGTTTGCAATGATGAAATAACTAACGATGACGTAATCATCATCTAGACCCCCCTACCCCCCATGTCATCCAAAATAAGCAAAACAGAGACCCCCCCACCCCCCCTTGGTGCTTACGTAATACTTGAACGGCCCCTACACCAGATCATCGGTCCACCTAGTGGGAGGCTTGCCCACACAACGTTTTCCGGGCCGTGGTCGTCTCAAGAACATTTCTGCAGTCGCAGCGATCCTTGTGGAAATCTGTGGAAATCCTTAGGGGAAGCCTTTGTCCAGTGGACATTTGACTGAAAAATACTTACCCAGCTCTTGCTGAACCGCCGTGGTCATCTTCTGGAAGGTAGTTCTGATGACCAGCAGCTTCTCAATGGGCGAGAAGGTGGTCTTGAGCTGCTGCAGAGTCTCCACAGCTTCTTGGAACAGCTGCTCTTTGACTGGCGAGTACGGAGGCGACGAGGGGTTGTGGCCTTTGTAGCCTACCCAGAACTTTCTGCATGGAAAGAACATAGATGTTTAGTTAATACACACACAATAGATGTTTAGTTAATACATATTCTAATAGCCACCTTATTTTCATAGTATTAGAGTACATAATTATAATATACGCTGTAAATCTCATTAAATAATAAATTAGGAACGGGAATGAAAACTAAAAAAGTGATAGTGGGCTAGCCATTTCTGCCGCAGAAAGGTGGGTGGAATAAATAGGTTATGAAGATGCATTTCTATAGCAATCTTATTTCTGAATACACTTAAGGTATATCCAGCCACACTTCCAGCTACCTTTCTTCTCATGTCATCTCAATCTATCGCAAATAATCACCACTTGATGAGAGCGAGAGAAAAAACAGAAATGGGTAGCTGGAACTGTGGCCGACAGTACATAACTTTCTGGTCAGTTCTCAAAAGCGCCTTTGAATACGCATTTGTTTCCAAAAAAAGCGCGGTTAATTGGTTTATTTACATTACATTCGATTGACAACTCCATGGTGACACTTACTGGTCGATTCCCAAAAACGCCATAAGGGTGAGATCCGGCTGTCTGTTCCACTTGAGCAAACGTCGCCAATAGAGGTCATCTTCGCGCTTGTTATGAACAACGTAGCAAGTTGATTGAGTCATTAAATTAGCAACTCTATAGTGATAGACATATGGTACTTACTGGTCAATTCCCAAAAAGGCCATAAGGGTGAGATCCGGCTGCCTATTCCACTTGAGCAGTCGTCGCCAGTAAAGATCGTCTTCCCTCTTGTTATGAAGAGCATAGCAGATTGATTGAGCCGTTCAATTAGCAACTCTATAGTGATAGACATTATGGTACTTACTGGTCAATTCCCAAAAAGGCCATAAGGGTGAGATCCGGCTGTCTTTTCCACTTGAGCAGACGTCGCCAATAGAGGTCATCTTTGCGTTTGTTATGAAGGGCGCAAGAAGTTGATTGAGTCATTCAATTAACAACTCTTTGCTGCTAAACATAAGGTACTTACTGGTCGATTCCCAAAAAGGCCGTAAGGGTGAGACCGGCTGTCTGTTCCACTTGAGCAGTCATCGCCAGTACAGATCGTCTTTGTTATTTATGAAGGACATAACAAGTTGATTGAGTCGTTCAATTAGCAACTCTATAGTGATAGACATAAGGTACTTACTGGTCGATTCCCAAAAAGGCCATAAGGGTGAGATCCGGCTGTCTGTTCCACTTGAGCAGTCGTCGCCAATAGAGATCGTCTTCCCTCTTGTTATGAAGGGCGTATAGTACAAACAGGGCGGGATGCACTCGAGGTAATAACGTTGGTTGGAGTAGCGAGGCCGCTGATATTACTTCGCTGAAAGAGAAGTTTATTATCAACATAATTGATTTGTGGCGACGCCACTACAAACTAGTGACCAACAGATGGCGCTGTTATAACCTCACAATGGCACACTCCACCGCGCGTACAATCCTACATCGCGGTGACAGAGTTTTATATCCTGCCAAGTATATGTAGACAAACCAAGATGGTGTAAATTGGACCTTGGTCCCCGAGCACAACACCCGCTCGGAAGGAAGCCCTAACACCTTAGCTTCCTTATTGTGGATGAACATCATATCCCACAGAGTCATTTAATCTCTAATGCTAGAATACGACCCACTTCTATTTATCAGAGGCACATGGTGGATTTAGTATACTCCCGACACTGATCAGACGGGTAGAGGTGGTAAGAAAGAGAAATTATTTGTTTTAAATGTGAATAAGTACGAGAGAATGTGTAACATCGGATATTATGGAAAACTATTTCCAGGGATGGTCAGCTCGAAAAAACTGATTTGGCTTATTAAACGAAAATTATGACAGTCGTTTTTCAGGGCTCGGATCACGTAATACAGTGGTTCCCAAACTTATTTAGTCTACTGCCCACTTTGAGAATAAGTTATTTTTTAGCGCCCCCCATTTTTGTAGTCCAGAGTCGAGCTCAGTCGATGTCTAAGAGTCCTCCTAGTAGATGACGCCTCCCATGCCTTTACACAACGCCCCGATTTTTTTTCTGGGTCTCTTACCGCCCCCCTTTAAGCCTGCAGCGCCCACAAGGGGGCGTTATCGCCCACTTTGGGAAAGACTGACGTTATAGTAGTTTCATAAATATAAAACCAGTCTCTATTTAGTGCTCTTACACCCGTATTCACAAACATTACTATGAGGTCTCACAGTGCGCGTGGACGCACAGGGTGACACGCGAACCAGCCTCAGAGCTCTATTTAACTCTATGCGTTCGATTTGCTGCTTCACTTAAGCAAGCATCGTTTGTGAATACAGGCGTTAGATTTTAAATTGTTTGAAAAATGAAAAAATGAAAAATGTTTATTTCGTTAACAACAACAATTAATGGAATTTGAGGTGGACTCTTTCTTGTAAGTGCAATGGCACCTGTGCCAGAAGGAGTCGCTCTCCCTTAACAAATTAACAGTAACATTTTTTTTTATCATAACCAAAAAGTAACAAAATCACCACATATTTAGGTTGCGTTTGGTGTGTGTGTATGTGCTTGTGTGTATATGTGTGTGCTTGCGTGTGTGTGTGTGTGTGTGTGTGTGCTTGCGCGCTTGTTTGTACTCAGGCATGTGAAAACAGTCAAGGTATGCAACCATCAA